CCAGTCTTGAGGAGGAGAGGAACACCTGGAACAGCCAGGCCTTAGCAACAGAGCAAGACAATTTTGGGGAATTCCCATCACACTTGGGCTTCTTGCCGATAGCTGTGCTGCTCACATCTGCACACAGGTAAGTACTACCCAGCAAGAAAAAAAACCCCAAACCACCACCACACCCTCAATCAGGACTGACTGGGCCACCAACCAGTAAAACAAGAACCTGGGGACAGCCCAGGCCAGGATGCATCTTCTATGTCAGGATGTTCCTGCATGCTCACTTGGATTTTATGACAAAGAGCAACCTTTAAACAGTTAAGTACTACACTGGCATCTTTTGCGATTGATGACAGTAACACCAGTTTGCACAGAGAACGACTAGAACGTTAGAACGACTCCAATTACCTTGGTCAGCAAACCAATAATATCCCAGACTCCCTAAAACTTGAAGAAATTCTCATCCTTTCCTGAGACACCCTATGGACTGACCATCAGGTCTTTGACTCTGTGCCCACAGTTTGCTTTTTTGTTTCGCTGCCTGCATTAAAGCAGTCACACACTATTTTAGGTTATTAAATATTTAATTCCTCAGTGAGACAGTGAAATCAGCAGATGGTCACTGTGCAGCAGGTCCTTGCCTCTTCTTTTCGGGGGGTGTATGTGTGAAAAAAGTTCAAGGAAGAATCATGAAAACCCATTTCATAGAATCATGGAATGGTTTGGGTTGGAAGGGACCTTAAAGATCATCTAGTTCCAACGCCCCTGCCATGGGCAGGGACACCTTCCACTAGACCAGGTTGCTCAAAGCCTCATCCAGCCTGGCCTTGGACACTTCCAGGGAGGGGGCATCCACAGCTTCTCTGGGCAACCTGTCCCAGTGCCTCACCACCCTCTCCAGGAAGAACGTCCTGATATCTAACCTAAACCTCCCCACTTTCAATTTAATCCCGTTACCCCTTGTCCTGTCACTACAGACCCTTGTAAAAAGCCCCCCCCAGCTTCCTTGTAGCCCCTTCAGGTACTGGAAGGTGCTATAAGGTCTCCCCGGACCCTTCCCTTCTCCAGGCTGCACCAGCCCAACTCTCTCAGCCTGTCCCCATAGCAGAGGGGCTCCAGCCCTTCCTATAAGCAAACATCCCTCCATTTAGAGAGGCAAGGTTATACGGGAGCTATTCATTTCTCTTACTACAGGGAGCCATTGAAGCATCAGAGAGCATCAGTTACCTGCAGAAGCACATCAGAGACGTCTATTAGTTGGTTCCTTTTGACACAGGACTATCTGTTAGCTACTTCTGAATCCATTTGGTATACCCACCAGTACTCAGATATTCTGAGAAGCACCAAAAATTACTACATGAATACAGTTTAGATCCCTTTATCAAACTTTTCACCACTCCAGAATCCCTTAATCTAGCGTGAAATACATCTTAAGATGTACAAGACTTAAGAAATCCGGTCCTCTCGGCTAATCCAAGCTGACTAATGATCTTCATCTGAGTCACGTGGCAAACAAAGAAGCTGGTGCTGATGGGAGGGAACAGATGCAAATTTGGTGCCTTGTCAGGTCTTTAAACATCGATGCTGATGGAGCACGTGGCACAGGAAGCCACAGAGTAGCTGCGAAAGGAAGAGGCAGCTATCACACCACTGTGCTGCTTCCTCTGTTCTCGCGGAAACATCTCACACGGAAGCTCATCCCAGGAATTAACTTCTGACAGAGCCCCGAATTATTTGGCTATTTGCTACTCTGTTTAACTACACCGAGGAAACTGCAAAACTAGAATGAATACCTTAAAATACTAAATTCATTAGGTTTTGCTGATGGCAACAGGGGAAGAAGGTGACTGCTACCGACATCCATTCTTCAGGCATTGAACTGAACTAAAATTTTGGGGCAAAATCCTCCCAAAAGTATTCTGTGCAATATACTGCAGGACCAGCCTGCAGTCAGCATTACAGAGGTAGTTACAAATTTCTCTCCAAAAACAGCACTTGTCCTTCTGGTGTGATCGAGCCTTGACGCCTCCTTAGAACACCCATTGGGCTTCTGCAGGGGGTTTGATGCACAAAACCTTTAAGCTCCCGAGTTTGGAGGTTGCACTTCTCAACCTGGCACGCTGCAAGCAAGACATGACCAACCTTTCTGCAGTCTTCAGCACCCAAGGTCATCCCCTTGGAAGGACAAACCAACCCCTTCCAGGATACTCCCAACTTCATGTGGACACATCCAGCCACATAGTAGAGATGAAATAGCTTTGTGTGTGTCAGAGAAGGTATCCTGTGAGAAGGTTCCTACTTGACCCATGGCCAAGTAGGTTGGTCCCTTCCAACCTAAGCTTTCTTATGATTAATATCTGTGAGTAATATACTTGAAAAGTGTTTATTCTGAATATCCAGTAAAAAGGAAACCACCATCAAAACTCTTATTAGGAAAAACCCCACATTTTTCTCCAAATGCTGCAGGTGGTGACAGTTTTGATTTCTTACAGAGACGCTGCTCACTGAGACCATCTGGTTGGACACGCAGCGGAACACGGCAGTGGCACTAACAAGAGGACCACGCTGGTACTGCGGCGTTACAGTAACGCTTTTACTGCTCTCACTTTTTAGGCTAACGGTGGGAGGTTCACCGTCAGCCACGTTATTTGGCAAGATTAATTGGCTAATTTATTGAACAGTATGTCACATGTAACACTACTGTTGTTCTCCTCTGAGTCATACGCACCATGAGTTTGGACACTTTTAGTCTTCACTTGGCAAGTCGACGATAATTCCAACTAACCAGTCTTGCTTACTGGAAGTTCAAGGCTGCCAGTTTGAGCAGGTGAGGTTTTTAAGCAAGGACCATTAAGGAGCCTGGCATTAACACCATCACTGAGAACAGACCCACCTATTTCCCCAAAGTCGGCACATATTTAGCACCGATATGTTTTTTAATTCCCAGCGTGGCACGCACGCACCAAGTTAAGGCTCTCTGGTCCTGGCAGTCTGACTGCACCAAAATTTGTTTTGTTCAGCTTCCAAGTTTCATGGAGAGACCAGAAATGTGGCTCACATCCTCCACCCGAGCTTCTGGCCTATTTCCAGTCATTTCAGCAAAACTGTAGCACAAGAGCTTCTAATGGCATTCAACAGATTATCAGAGCTGGGTTTGCAATGCCCGTGGGACCACACAGAGAGACAAATAAAAGTCATGTTGTTCGCGAGGCTTCTCAACAGTCTCTTGACAAATACTGGCAAAAAGGATTGAGATGACAGTCAGCCCCGCTCTAGAATGAGGCGAAGAGAGATCTTGAAGGCAAGATCTCCATGTCTGATGGCAGCACACTCAGAAATACTTCAATTAGCATGCACAGCATCAGATAAGGCCAAAATGCCCTGCCTGGACAATTAAGCGTTGTAGGACAAAAAGTTCAGATTCATTAGGCACAGGAGAAAACCCATTAAAAACACTTAATCTAGCCAAAATAAAGTCAGGCCCCGAACATTTGTTCAGTTTTAAAATTCCTCAGTAACATCTTTAATGAGTGGTAGAAAGCCGACAGGTGGAGAAAAAGCAAACTGGGATTTATTCATGTGTCATGAGACATATGCGCCGGGGTATCAGAGAGATGGCAAGCGTCAGCAGAACTCAAGTTGGGAGCGAAGAGCAGAATTAAGTGTCTCACTTACTCTGTGGACCTACATTTGATTTATTTACTACACAGGCTTCAGCAGAAATGCCCTAAGTCACAGAAGCATAGGTAACTGGAATTAAAGTGATGACATAAACTGGTCAGGAGTTTTGTGCACAGCATCAGATGCTACTGCCAGAATACAAAATACATAGACAAGAGCATCTTATTTCAGTAGACAAGTCCTGCTTAAAAAAAATAAAACCAGTATTTTAGCATTTCCAATAGTGACAGCTCACTTGGCACCCACATCCCTGATTTTGACTCCTACAAGGAGTAAAGAAGCCAATGGCACCCAATCTCCAGAGGATGTGCTACACAAAATTAACTAAATGGACTTGAAAAATTAATTGGAACAAGGAGAAAGGAAAAAAGCAAGACACTGCATATTATGAGCTCAGAGCAGATATATCGTTCATTCTGGTCAACTCAGTATTTCAGTAATACGAGACTACATCCTCTGCCAGTGGAAGCTAGGTCCATCCGGGGAAAACAGGAAAAATAAAATCAGAAGAAAGTGTAAAAAAATTACAGTAATGTAGGAAACTTGCCAAGCTCAAGGTCAATAAATGGTCAAGGCACAGAAGGAACAGAGAAGGTCTTTGCTTCAGAGAGACTTCCTTGTGCAATGCGTAGTCAAGGTTGTAGAAATCCTTGGCATGAGAGACAGCACATGCTAACAGTCTATATAGGTTTTAAAAGCAACCAGAAATTCAGGGAAGAAAAATCCAAACACTATTAGACACAAGCTCAAGCCTTTCATTAGGGAATTCAGAGGGCTTGCCAGAAAACAAACAAAAAAATTAAACCCCCATGTTTTGGCTTCTCCTGTTATATTCTTCTCATATTTGCTGTAGGCTACTGTCGCTCAGAGGATATTGAGACCATAGGCTTTTGGATACTCTTATGATTTAGCAAATATCAATGCAAACAGCATTTCATGTTTTTATTAGAAAAGGTCTATGCTTCTTACACATTTTCATAGATTTTAAGATTCTACGTCACCGTAGATTCTAAAGTCCGCCACTCTACACACAAACAACTTTCCATCCACTCCAGTTCCTGTGTTTTACAAACGCATTACATGGGTATTTCCCACATCAGCCAATCCTCCCTAACGCAACAGCCAGTTTACTAATGAGTTTCTAGGTCCCAGTAATGATCCTGTATTATTATGATGTTATTCTGACCAACTCTCTCCCAAAAACCTGCGTGGGACTAAGTTTGTCCAGACCAGTAAGTTCAAGTCAGAGACACACAACAAATACAATGGCAGTGTTTGACTTAACCAAGAAATCAAACTTCCTGTAAGCTTAAGGGAGGTTTACTCACCCGCACTTCCGAGTTGTTTATAAAACCTGTATTCTAAATGGAGTTGTGGTGCACGTGATTTTATTGGTTCCTAAAACAGAAGGAAAATGTTGTTTAAAATCAGTTTCACTAAAAAAAAAGTTATATTTCTATACTTGAAGTTTTGTGACTGTACATAATGCTTCAAGTTTCAAGATAAAACACCTTTGACTGAAAGTCGAACAAGAGAGTTCACCACTACACGTCATTTAAACAAGTAGAGAACAGAAAGCACTAAGACTTGCAATACACTCTCTGGAGGAGAAATAACTTCCTCCTTTAACCACAAAGCTCAACCATGGCAGTGAAATAAAAAAAAAATCATTCAACACAGCTCCTGGTCCTTGAAGAATGACCCTGGACACTGGCAGGAGGAAAGTCAAAGCTGCAAAAGACCAAGTCCCAAGTTGACTTTGTGGGTTGCAAGCCTTTATTTTTGGAAAAGGTTGAGTCATGTATCTGGTTTTTAAGTCACACCGCAGTCGTATAAACCTACGATCTTGCCTGCAGGAAGCACTAGAGTAGAGCCAGATATCTGGCAGAAACACAGGTAGAAGTCTCCCCTTCAGTAGCAGGTGTCAGTCAAACATCTCAAAGCACCCAAGAATACTCTATTTTTATACACAGAATAAAAAAATTAATAAGTCTGCAACGCTTCCAAAATGTTACATTTCTCTACTGTTACTCATCTGCATTTTACGCACAAAACCCAATGCCTACGATCCATAAAGCCATTAACGTGCAGGCTTACAAAGCTTCTAAAAATATGAAGTTAACATGGAGAGGATTAAGAGACTTGAGTAATTACATTTCCAGTAAAACTGTGCACTTGGGACAGGTGGTAATGAGGATGCACCGACTGCCCAGGCATCTTCGAAACAGAAGTTAATACTGGCCTCAACTTTGTTGCTTATTTCCATGCTTTTGAGAAACGTTCTGTGCTCAAAACAACATCAAATCGGTAGCATGGCACCACAATTAGTCTGTAATTCATCAGCCTGCGAAGTAGCCCTTTATTTGATGAACTCATCCCCCAGAAGTCTGCCTACAAAGGAGCCCCTTAAGACCGACGTAATAAAAGCCCTTTCGCGTTTCACATCGGTGCCTGTGAGTCAGAGCAAGAGCACCCAAGGGAGGTTCAACAAGGAGTTTGAGCCGACGTCTTCGACACGGTGGAATGGGTCTTCTGTCATGGAGAGAATGGGAGAATATGAAGGCTGTAGCCAATACACTTGTTTCACCTCTGGTCTGTCCGGTCAGACTAATGTCCACTTGTGCCATGAACTCCACATTAAAGACTTTTTAAGTCAGAAGAACAATTTCTGTACAGGAAATCGGGCAATTCAACTTCCAGCCAAGCTGTTAACACCAGCTCAAGTCGTCCCCTCCAATTGCCAGGCAAGGGGAAAAGCTGCTCCTGGTTGCTTCTCAACCTCCTGATATTTAAAAGCTTCAGAAGTCAAATATGACCAGTTACTTAGAAAACACCAGTGAAAAATATACTAAACGCAAAGCTGAAGCTGTACTGAAGGCAAATATAAGGCAATACAAAGCCAACTTTGTTATGTAAGTTGCATTTAAATTACGATAATTGTTGATGATGGCTTGAGGGAGAGTCTACAGACGCCCACACAGCAAAGGGATGTAGGGCAACAGGAGCTCAGCCTGTTCAGTGAATACTTCATTTGTCCAAATAAACTATTTGGATAAAGGTAGAAGGATTAATGTACCAGGATATGAGGCTGCTCATAACAGGGAAAGTAAGCCCAAGCCACTTCTGCATCAGGAGCTGCTGGAGCCCGAGCCCTGGACGCTTGCCAGAGTCATGGCAGCTTCCGAGAACATCATACCAGAACAGATGGTTGTCCTGTAGGCCAAGGGCTTAAGGATGTTGGCAGATGTTGCGTTTGTAGCGAAAAATAACTGAACTGCTACTGCCTAACACACAAAATCCACAGCTCAAACCAACGGGCATCACGATCGCTGCGAGAGGGCGGTGCCTGCGCTCAGACTGGATCTGTATGTTCAACGGGCAGGTTTCACGCAGGGAAGAAATTCCTCATATGTGCAACTCAGCATTAAAAACTGTCAGAAGATTAAACCAGTAAATTCAGAAGATCAACTCTTCCGTGAACTAGACGCCCTTAACAAAATAACGTTCAGCTGAAGAGCGGGATGAGGAGCTTTATGGTGACACCACACGAGTGAGAAGACAGGCAGTATTTTCCACCACCGGCAATTTTCCAAGATGCAGCACAACCCTCACCCCCAAAGAGAAACCATGAGACATCAGGACTGCATTTCACAGCACTTTCTGTCCAGCACTTTGCCATCCATCACACAGTTCTCTAATTTCCAGCTTTAACATCAGGACAGGAGGCACGAATAGCTGAGACAGCAGGGCTGCAGTTGCAGAAGACAAACTCACACAGCCAGAAGTACTTGGAGCAGTTTTGACTTGGTCCAACGATGCAAATAAAAAAAATGTTGCCTTTAAGTGCACTGAATGCAGCTACTCTAACACCAGTCCACAAATGATTTGAAGGATAAAGAAAATTACAGTTAAGTACACACGTAAGAGAAGCGTATTTGCTGCTGAGGAGGCTGAGTAATTCTTACTCCTGGGGAATGTGATCTAAGATTAGGAGACCAAAGAAAAAAATACCATCTTTTCCACTGTTCCCTCATTAATCTCCTCAAAAATGAAGCCGGCATGTGAATGCCTGGATGGCCACCAAACATGAAGGACCAGAGATATTTAGGCTTGAATGACAACAGGGGAAATAGAACTGGAGTGTGTGGCAGAGTAACTGCTTTAGCACTCAGATACTGGGGGGGATAGAACGCTACTGCAAAAACAGGTAAAATGAAGGCAGCAATAAAGGAAATGCCATTCAGCTCTGTCATATGGCTATTGCAAGGTTTCAGGTTAGTGGGAGGTGTCCCTGCAGGCCCTGCTTTGAGAGAAACGCATCCTTTGGACTACAACTGCTGTGGTTTTCCGGTATCATTACTTCCTTACGCCTTCCAATGCTGTAACTTTGCGGGATTATCTTTGAAAGCAAATTAGAAGCATTATTGATTCAATAAAACACCTTGTCTGTGTCCACAGCGCATTTTCTATTGTCAGATCTGCCTAAAAAGCAAGCCACTCAAGCACCAGTCCTTCCTGATGTGGATCCATATCAAGGACATCCTAAACTCCACTGCAGGTGTTTATCTTAGGGAATATCTTCTGACATTTGTCAACAGGCTTGAAAACAAGTCCCTCCTGCTAAGCCCTAATTACTTTTCATCTACTATGCATCACATAAGGAGAGTGCTAGTTATAAATCTGTGGCACTTGAACGTGACCGGAATTAATGCACCAAGTCCATCTTGATCTTCCGTAATCCGAATGACTCCTGTCATTTCGCCAGACAACATCGGTTGGGCAAACAGGCGTGTTTGCTGCTAGTATCAAAAAAGTGTTACAACTTCAACTTCAGATTCTAGGATTTGGGTCTGTGATTAAAGAGCACGCGGATGAGGAAAAAGCACATCAGCTGAAGACATCAATTTGAAAACCCCAAGAGACTCATGAAAAGCTTAGTTTACAGATAAGAAAAGTTAAGGCATAAACACCAATTACTGGGCTATAATTTTTTATAAGTCTGGAAGAGCTACAAGTCAGAGTTTCCCCAGACCCCCACCTCAAACCACCACTTGCCCACAGTGCCTCCATGGCCTGAAGCAGTCTCCAGAAGATGACTTCCTACCCAGACCACTCACTGGTCCAGGTAGAAGAAACACGGAAGCTGTCATGGCGAGCACCTGGGGAGGGCTAACCGACTGCAGGGCAGAAAATAATCCACTAACTGGTGCTGAGGCTTGTAACACTGGATAAGAGAGCTGTGAACAGAACTGCTTGCACAAGTTCTAGGTTCCTTACTGTTGGGGCTTGGGTTTTTTAACACAACTCCTGCAATGCTTTGGTGAGTCAATTCCATTCACTTTTACCATCCTGTGATGTAAAAGGAGAAAATCACCCTGAAGATGCGGTGGCTATCCTCAGCCGCCCAAACCAGCTAGGGGAAAGGCTGACCTTCACCAAATTGGATCTTGTTTTGCCTGTTGCATCTGCAGGTCAATTCCATTCACTTTTACCATCCTGTGATGTAAAAGGAGAAAATCCCCCTGAAGATGCGGTGGCTATCCTCAGCCGCCCAAACCAGCTAGGGGAAAGGCTGACCTTCACCGAATTGGTTTTGCCTGTTACATCTGCAGTCTCTCAGCATCGTACCAGACCGAGTTCTGCTATTCTCCCCCAAGGGAATTTTAACCCTTGCAACACCTCCTTTCCCGCCTCTTGACTCCCCAGAACGTGAGGCTGCAGAGTGCCACACTCCTAACCAAAGGCTCTTTCAACAGCCCACCTACAGAGAGGTAACGGTCTGGAGAATCAATGGAGCCCGGATCGGAAAGGATCAACGCAGGGAGTGGGAAGAGGTGGAAAACCCACAATCAGTGCTGTCCACTGGGACCTGGTGGCCATCTTGGAAAGAGGAACAAGGCTTTCACTGGCATAAGACAGCTCCATTTAGGCACCAAAAACATTCAGCAGGTAAAGGGATGGGTTCTTTCCTCATTTTTAATGTTCTCAGGAATTTATCTTAGTTTAAATAAGTTATTCTAGCTGAAGGTGAGAGCAGCATTAAGCCCAAAAGTGAGAAAGTTGCTTCTTGCCTGAATTTTTAATATTAAGTCATTTAAGAACACCCGAAGCTTTTACTTACCAGTTTGATCGCTACATATTCATTGGTGTAGAGATTTTTACCTGTGAAGGAAAAAGAAAAAAAGTCTTTTAGTTCCACATTCAACACTTGCAGCTAGAGACACATCGCAGCAGAGCGTCACCCATGGCGAAGAGCTGTCTTTGCTCAGTTCCCCACTGAAGTTCAGCCCTTTTACAAAGCGTAAGCCTCAAACTAATAAGTTGCAGCAGCTGACCCGGGCAAGCAAACCCTATCTTCCACTCAGCATAAAGGTAATCACGTTTTATGGGCGCGCTTATGTTCAATGCAAGCGTTTGAGGAGGTATCCCAGACACATTAGGTTTTATTACCCACATCGTGCCAAAAAGGTCTGGGGAACAAAAAATGAAGAGTCAGAGCACAGTTTCTTTCAGAAACGTCCTGAATTTGCTGGACGTTGAACAATTTTACACTATGATCTATAGGGAGTTTCACTGGCTTAATCGTGCTATATATCAAAGCAACTACTGCAAGGCAGCATGTAAAAGTAACCTTTGTACCAACACCAGCTTGTGTTTCTTCCTCTACGAACAGGCAGGCAGTGTGTATGAAATGCCTTCTGTATGCCAGCGGCACAAAGGCAATCCTCGGAATCTAATAAGGCCAATAGCTTTCAGTTGCAATATGGTACCAATGAAGCTAAAAAATACACTAAGAAAACAAAACCCATTCTTAGGACCCCAAAACACGGAGCAATGTCTGGTCTGATGCTAGCTCTGGCAAGCATGAAGGGCAAGAGCCCGGGACAGCAATAACCAGGCAAGCACGCAACCAGCTACCAGGATGCTGCAGCTCCATGACTGAGCCAGTTGGTACCTGCGCGTGCTACAGACGGAGGTGAATTTTTCCTCCGGGAACCTGTCTGGTGTTTGAACCAAGCCCTCTGCCTTCTTAGCGATCTGTGGCAGCGATGTGCACAGCTACACGTGTCAAGAAGCATCTCTCTGTGTGTTCTGAAGCTGCCAGTTAGTGTATCATTCAACATTCTCCAGCTCTCTGCTAGGTAATTGGAGCAATCGCTCCCCCTTCACCTTCTCCACATTGCAAACTGACAGCAAACTCTCCGGGAAGAGAGATCACCGTGGAAGGATGCTCAGGCAGCCCTTGTACCTGATCTGTCCCATCATCCTGACATGTCTGCTACCTTTCTGACCTCCTCTAGTTCCACCATGTCCGTTGAGGAGCGCAGCTCCCGCTGGTTTCATACAGGGAAGCACTGACCTTCCCTGCCCGTCACTGCTAGCACCGCTACAGCACGTCATGCTTTCACCGAGTGACTGCGTAGCTCCAAAATTCAATACTAATCTATGCTGGACGTTATCTGGGCTTGTTTGTGGCATCAACTTTGCCCAGCTCTATGACGCATTTACTCTTCAATTCCTGTAACAGATATTGATGCTTAGGACAAACCAGCTATGGAGAAAGTCCAGGATGGGAGTGACATACCTTAGAGCAGGTAGGAGGCTAGGCAGCTCTAGCATGTCTACGTGACACCAGTAAAAACCATGCCATTGTCAGCCCTCGCAGGCAGATACCCCTTGCATGCAGCAACAGCATTGGAAGACTCAATAAAATTAATGACATTATGAACATGAGAAGAAACAAGCAGTCTGCTTTAAATCCTGAAATATTTATCAAGGGAAATTCCCCCATTTATTTATTTCACATTATAACAGCTCGGTATTATCTGCATTCAGCTTCTTTTGACACCATCCCCGCTATACTGCTTGGTGTGGTTCTGGCCTCCGAATTTCAGACTGGGCACTCCTGCTCCAGGCCACGCACCGGAGCAGATTGCTTTAACATTCATTGGGAAGCCAAATAAATTTATGGAAAGCTTCAACCTGTTACGGTAACTGGCAATGCTGTTTAACACAGGGCAGGCATTTAAATGTGAGGTTAAATATCCTTAGAGGAAGTGTTTTATGCAAGCAGATGTGTAAGCTGAGCTCCAGCATTAACCCTTCCCACACAGGGTTGTTTGAATCCATTTCTTTAGATCCCGTATTAAAAGCTATTATGTCCTGCTGGAAACGAGGGGTAGAAAGGGTTTTGCAGTCACATCAGGAACACTCAGACAGTAGAAAGAGGGTTCAAAGCACTGAGAGAGCTGGAAGGCCCAATCAGCAGAAAAGCAGGTGGCAGGATAAACTGTTTCACCCTCTGAGACAGATAAGGGCTCCAGCCTGATGCTATCCGGTGGCTGGGGGGGGGAGAACATGCAAGGACATTAAAGGAAGGCAGCCTAAATACACTGAAATTATCTGCTTCGTATTAGCTACCAGCCAATGAGTCATATCAGCAGCTCCAGCTGTAGCTCGCCCACTGACACTTCCTCCTCCCCTCTCCTTGATAGGGGCTGAACTCCTATCGAGATGCTTGGTTTGAGGACACTGAGCCAGCCTAAGGGAAGCTCCAGCCCAAGAGAAAGATGCTTTCAACAGCAAAAAACTCAAGGAGAGAGGCATGGGAACGCCACCCCCTACAGATCCCACGACCTCCACCAGAGTCTTGGAGGTGCACCATTTCAAGGTAGTTTTGGCACTCAACGTGCAGGAGTCTAAGTTGTATTCGAGCAACACTTGCGCTTTCCCACGGACACGGGATAATGACACTGCGGAAACAGTGCTCTTCCAAGCTTGTTTCAAGACAGAGGCCACTGCCAACACCCTGCATGTACGCAGAGCTAATTTGGTAATGAAATTCCTCAGTTAAAAACTTGGGATTAGCAAAACACTAGCCCAAGACATCAGGCCAGCAGCCAAAGGTAAGTGAACTAATTAATCCTCCAGTTCACCCCCTTCAGAGCACGCGCTATGGGGAAAGGCCGCACATAAAGGGTGCAAATGGGTTCAGCTTCTGAAGTCCAAACTCTTCCTAAAGCTGCAGGATGAGATGCTACGAAGGCAACAGAAATCCCCAAAATCTCTGTTGGCTTGCTCCAGACTGAGCTCTACCCCTGGGTTTTGCTGTGACACTGCCCAAGGTGTAACGGTTTCTTCTTCTCCTCCTCCAAGGCAGCACTGGTATTGAAAAGGAAGAGTAAAGGCAGTACTGCTCACAGGAGAAAGTGAATCTGCACAGTAAAATAAGCCCTGAAGAGAAGCTGCATCTTATCTTAGTAAGACAAAAGATCTGTACACAGCTGAGATGATACAACTGTGCTAACAAAAGCCTTTCAAGTTCAGGCAAAGCTTTTGATGGAGCAGCGATTAAGTTCATGCCTCCGTTTTGGGTAGTTCCACTGACAATTATGAACCGCATATTCCAAGGGAGAAGCGATGCATTAAGTCACCGACATTCACGTGGGAAACCTAACAAAGCTGATTTCTCAAGCCCTGGCAGGAAGATGTGTCGAGTACAGGGACAGATTGTAGACGAACAGAGGAGCCCAAACTGATCAATCTTTCGCGTGCACTATTCCCACAGGTCGGCGTTAGGAAGCACAAGTGCAAACCTCTCATGAACACCACGAATCAAAAACGCTTTGACCCTTCTAGCTTGTCGCTACATGGACAACACATTTTGAGGACAGATGAGGGCTGCACAATGGAGCAAACATCCCACTAGTCCTACAGACCAAGCAGAGCTCACCCCAGACAGCACAGCACCTACACAGAGACCAAATCCCGTGGGCAGCTGAAATATGGAGTTCACATCAATTCTGCAGTGCCAGATTTGCTGTCCCTTCCAGAGCACGTGGCTCCAGATAACAGCTCCCAGAGTGGATCCTACCCAGGGTCTCCTCTTACCCATGCCCTCCACACCTAGCTTTAGTCTCGTCTGATACTCACATATTGATTTGGGAAGCAGAGATAAAACCAGTCCCAATATTATTTTGGGTTTTGTTGTTGCTTTCCTTGTTTTAAAGCAGAGCTCCTGGCTTAAAAGTGCAGCCTGCGAGCCTGCTGGGTGGTTCTCACTTTAGGGGGGCACATTCCAAGATCTGATCAACCTGCTCTCACCTGGCAATGTACAAATAAGCTGCTTTCCTTCTAGTTTGGGCCTTGCTGCTTGCTGCTGAGACACACTGAATCTTCATGAGACCCCTGCATCAATCAGGCTGACGTACATCCTCTGGACATTATGGAATTTCTTTGGACAGCACATGAAAACAGAGTTCTCCAAAAATCCCCTTGGTGCCGTAGCCTCTCATGGGAGGATAAAAGCAACATACAGGATCTTGCCCTCCCGATTTCCCACTCCCCCCTTTTCGAAGCAGGGAGAAAAGCCGTGCTGATCATCTTTTTTTGGAATGATAACTGAACACGCTGTTTTGAAACCTCCAGATAATTGGAGATTTGAACTGGAGTGGCATTAGAGCCACTGGGCTACAGCTCTGCATTAAAATAAGCTCCTGCTCTACCCAGAACTTAATTCTTATTTTAGAAACCCCCAACCCACCGAAACCGGCGTAAGTTTACATTAGCACCTACTTAATTGCTTTGCTAAATAAAGGTGCCAAACACTGGGAAAAATGAGACATTTGAAGAAGTTTATTTATCCCTGACATGGCTCATGGTTCAGGGTTTTGGGTAAATACAAGAAATGCCCACTGCATAAGTCTGAGGCGATACAAGGAGGCAGTTCACAGTCACAGCTGGCTGTATCTTTTCTAAGGTGAAGTTTACAGCCGTGGCTTACCACAGCACTAGATTTCACAGGTAAAATCCCATTTTTTCCTGAGCAGTGAGCACCTACTGACATCACAGGATTTCACAGCACAGCGAGCTCGTTTCTCAGGCTGTTTTACCTAATGCCGATTCTCCCATCGAGTTGGGGTGGGGACACAAAACTTCCTAACAGCGGGAATCATGCTGTAAAACTCCAGGCAAGTGCTCCAGCTCCCAAGGCAGCACCAAAATTGTCTTGGCAGGACACCACTTGGCATTGCACAAAAGGCAATGAAACCCCATAAGGGTGCAGAGTCCAACCCAGGGATGGCAAGCAAGATCCTCCGCTCTTTCCTGGCACCGTACCCCTGCTAGTAGGTTGAGCTGCTTTGGAAACCAAAGCTCTTACAGGCCACCTAATCTGGAGCCTGTCCGAAGAAACAGCAATCACTTAACCCCGTGCTGTCTTATTATCCTGGGCCAGACACCAAGTTTTGCGTTCATCTTCCCATTTCACCTCCTCTGTGGGCTGGAATCCAACTGTGCTGCTCCCACAGCAGCATGGTAAGTAATATCCCTGAGGCTATCTGTATTTGCAGGGAGAAAGATCAACCCTAAGCTTGATATTAGCAGAAAACAGCTTCCGTATGAACATGCCACCTCCTCTCTGAACAAGCCCTCCTCTGCCTGGCACCGGAGCGCGATACAAGAGCAGAGTGAAAACACAACCACCTGAAAACAGAAAATTATTCGAAGAATTGGGAAAATACATTTTCCTCTTATTTACTAGTGTGTGGCTTTGCTCTTTCCGTGTTACTAAATGCACTCACTGGTGCTCTACTTCTCCGAAACCACATAAAAAAAAGCCAAAAAGCAGGGGGCATGCCATTCATCTTTGCAGGACAAAACTGTTATCAGAGACTTGTTTGCTCCTATTTCAGCCCTGCTGCTTCTCCTTCCCCCCAGCAATAATTAGCATCACATCTGTGCAATAGAATTATCTGATACTGGAGCAAACAGGAGTTCTTAAAGCTACAGTGACTGGAAAAAAAGAAACAGAAGTTTGAAAAAAGAAGAGTACTGTATCTGGTTGCTGTTATCAGTACGTAAAGCTCGTTGCTCAAATACAGCACACAACTTCATTAACTAGCATTAACAAAACATTACCAGTGTAGTAAAAGAAAAAGAGCCACTCCATTAACAGGTGTTGCTTTTTCCTTAGTTAAAACTGAATTTCTCTGTAAACCCAACTTTTTCAGAAGTGAAATCTCTTCTGTAAAGTCTGTGCTTCGAAACTATGCATTAGTCAGAAACCAAATACTGCTAAAATTTTGGGAAACATGAGAAAGAACCACTGCAGAACCAGGATTTGGGCACCAGCCCAACAAACACAAAAGCCATTTAACTGGAGGCACCTTGAAGCAGAGCTTGGATTACAAAGCAATTCAGCATCTCCAGGGGGTCCTGCTATTGTGACATTTGCTGTTGGGGGGACCTTTGAAAATGCAATACAGCTATTCCTGCGTGTTACTGTAAGGATCCAAACTCATGTTCAGCTGCCAATTATGCTCACGTTCATGAAGATGGGAGTTTTTGTCCCTGCCCTTAGTTTCACTCCACCTTTGGTGCATTATCTCTGCTCCTGCAAATCAATAAAGCTTCTCTGATGTAACGCTGAAACCAAACCACCTGATTGCTGAGACAGATCGTAAGCAAGCTGGTTAATCTTCACACTGTCGAGAAGGGGCTCATCATACAGATGCGATAACCAAACCTTAGATTGAAAGATTACATAGATCAATCTAAGATACAAGGATTCTGAGCAGGAACCTACAAAGATACTATCAGTAGTTACGCATTATAACTCTCTAGTTACCTCAAGTAACTTTCTGACAGATTTATTTACCATCCCCTGTGCCTGATGCACAACTGATTTTAATTTCAATTCTAAACACATATCAAGTTTTGGACAAATGGCATTTATATCAGCCAACCCGTCTTCAGCACCCTCAAGTTCACTACCACAGCAATCCATTTCCTTCAGTGAAGAACGCAATAACTTTAAGTGAGGATCAAGACCCCCACAAGCTGCTGCTCTACAGCAAATACCCCAAAATCACATACTGGGAGCTGAGAGGCATGTAATCAAATACACCGTCTGCTGCCCCCACCTCATTTAAAAAACAACCATCATTTGTTTAGGGTGCACTGAGCTCTTAAGTCATCCTAAACAAACGACGCATTAGCGCAGCCATCTGTTTGGGCAACCAGCTGCAAGACATGTCCTTAGAAGACCAACGGACCACGAAAAATCACGGGCTGCCAGGCCGGTTCAGTGGCTGAGAGGCAGCAGCCAGATGGCCAGTCGGCACACCCCACATCGCCAGCCAGCCAGCGAGTCAAACACATGGGACAGATCAGGGAGCTGGTGGTGGGGCTGAAACTAGGGCACCGAGGTTAGTGAAGGACATGGAACAGAGAAGATGTGTCCGAGTGCTGGGAAAGTCTCACCTAACAGGACATGGAACAGAGAAGATGTGTCTCACCTAATACACTTTAACAGGGAGACTTAGCTTATGAACAAGAAATTGAGAGCAAGATTTAGCAATTCAGGCAGTTAAGATGGCTTTTTCCACCTTAGGCAAGGCATTCAGTGCTGAGAACAGTCCTCATTGTTAGGATTGTTCAAAATTTGCATCTCTGGCCTCTCCAGTGTATTCACGTATGCAAATAAAAATAATGCTAACAGTTACATCTTCTGAGTCAGAAGCTTCAGGTAAGGCAACTCGACACTTGGGAAATGAGACAAGCACATGCATTTCTCAAGTTTTTATGTATTTATATTCCAGTGGTGAAATGCTCATCTGGATAATACAGGCCACTCAAACGGTTACTTCTTACCTAGTCTGAGTTCTCCAAAGTTCCCACACCCAATCTTCTTGCCCACTCTGAAGTTGGGTCCCACCATAAGAACACCAGAAGACGCCGATGAGCTTGGTCGAGAACCATGCACGCTCCTTCCTTCTTTCGTCGTCCGCTGCCTTTCATCCTTTTCCCTATTAGTATGGTCCATGATCTTGGTGAAATATCTCTGCCAGCAGGCTGGCAGAAAGGAATTGGAGTACACACTCTTCTCCTTAGAATAGAAATATGTATCCAAAAGTATCTGAGTCAGGGTCCAAGAGAGTCATGGAAACACATGGAGTTCTTTTGGCACCGTATCCAGTTTCCTAATGCATCTTGATAATGTACCAAGGGGTCGATTATGTTCTTGAGAACTCAGTAAAGGCAGGTTGCTTTTGGTTTCTTACCTAGGGAAAAGAGAAAAAAAAGAATACATGAAATTAAAAACATTTTAAAATACCAAACAAGAAATGTACAACAGGACCAATGCCCAGAACTTTCCCAGCCTCAAGGAAATTAACAGCTATACAAGTACTTGACCATTTTCTTAACAATTTTCTGATAAAAAGCCCTGACGTGACAGAGAGAGAAGCGCTGCCCATCCACCTCCTGGCTACTGGAGTCATCAGGGCTCACGCAGCACCTACTAACAAAAGCAATTTCAGTTACACCAGCACATCAGGTGGAAACTGCAAGATCACATCCCATCTTCAAAGCAACTGTGAGGTGTGAAGTTTGTTTTTTCTCACTTCGTACATCTATAAAGTGTTACACAGAAGCCAGACAAAAAAGCAAAGTGGCAAATGAAAGGTGCCAAAAGAAAAAACAGTGAAGCCCTTTGGAAGTCAAATTCCCCTTCATTTTACATCTTCTAAAGCTGACCTCGGATATATTCGCTAATTGAAACTGTTGTCCTACAGAAATGGCCAAAATTAGTAGCCAAGGCAAGATGTATTATTTTTAAAAAGCTAGAAGTTTCCTGAAAGCTGTATCAATGTACAGTTTGTGTTACTAACGTGATTTAGGTGCCAAAAAAAGAGGTTTTGGAGAAACAGATGTTCTAAAGGAATTGGGTGAGGGACTCAAGGGCCAAGATCTCCAGCAGCCTGCCTTCGTGACTGGCAAAGGAAAGCCTGACAGTTCTGAGAAACTGCCTCCTGCATGATCACTGCCATAACCCCAAGGACAGGCAACTCGGGACTACTCGACAGCACAGCGGCGCATCTCCCGAGCATCACTCTGCTTACTGTCAAAAGAGGCCAAGAAATAGATGCTCCTCACCATGCAGGCCGAGTGGTTGCTCTGTGACCCTGGACCAGCCGGAAATGACAGGTAGGAGCTGGACCAGGACCTCCTGGGTCCGTAGATCAGTGCAGGTAAGATTGACATCGCACCATAAGAACTCTCCTAGGACATGAACTCCCACTGCAGCCAAGTGATTCAGCTCAGCCCCGCCGCGGTCAGAAGAAGTTTCTACCACTCAGAGATGAAAGTGAAGCTGCTGTTGCCACAGACCGTTGTGGCCTGATGGGACAGTCCAGAGGTACCAGTGGCAGTGGGTGAGCGCCCCCTCATCTCCCAAGCAATCAGCAGGAGAAAGGCAAAGCCTCCAGCTGTTCAGACACTGCAGCAGGAGCTGCTATTAGGCAGCAGACGTGGACGCTCTGGAGATGCTTGTGGTGCAGTTCTTAAGCAAGAACCAGAATAAACATACCTGGAGCTACCCCCCACATCCCAGGACCTATGATACTGGATTGTATTCCTTTCCGGGACACTGCTGCATTCACAGTTTTCCAGGTGTGAATGGAAGAGTGCCTGAACAATTTCAGAAACAAGCTTTGTGCCCTACTTCAGCTGTAGGCATCCACGCAGAAGCGTCAATGTTTGCACAGAATTCAGCAAATACCTTCAAAGTCAGCAGAGAGGTGCTAAATGAAACCACCAGAACAAGAGTCAGTATGGAGGGACATCAGCAATTGAACAGGACCAGATACGCCCAGGAACACAACCATATTTACGAGAGTTCAAAAGTTACTGAGGCAATTGGCTCAGTCCCCCTGTAGCAATACATTTGTAGAGGATTTAGTAAGGGTTTCTTCTGCTTGTTTCTTGAGATGATGAAGCTAACCTACGTTCTTCCAGTTATCCAAAAATAGAGGAATTATTACCCATCTACAAACCAGGGGCACAGAAGAAAAGCATTAGCCCTTCTGAAATATGAGCGTGCTTTCCCTAGCTTTCAGCTGTGGGATACGCCTATTTCTGGAAATTTTTATTTTGATTTAAGGCATCTGTACACAAGCCAGAGGTCACTGACACTAGGTCCAGAAAAATGTAGGTAGCTACTAGTTAGAAATCCCAGTTTCTGACTACTGAACTAGTCTTAGCACACCTCTGACCTTCCCTATCCATTTCCATTTGCAGTTCTGTGTGTTTGCACAGAAGAGGGCATATTGCTCCCCAGCTTCAGCTTCCTCCTTGGATTTTTTTTTTTTTAAGTAAAATACTTCCACAGAAAAACCCAAATATTAAATACAGAGAATGCACAACTGTAACACCACTTTGCAATTACTTCCTACTGCTTTTGTTCATGTATTACTGCAGGCTTCTGCATCAGACAGGGAGTTTGCAGGGCTCTAAACAGACTCCATAGGAAGGATGCTGTGTCCCTCCACAGTGCATTAGGAAGACCTTGAGGAACTAATAATAGCATAAAGGAACATCCATACATCTGGATGGATGCTTAATGCAACGTAACAATCCCACAAAACCACCCATCACTAACAGTTCATACCGATGCCTAGAACCTAGCTCAGGTTGCAGAGATCACAACCCACGGGATACTTCATCCAGCCTGTGACTCAGCAGCCCTCCTTTCTAGAGTGAAAAGCAGATGAAGCCTCACTGTCGCTCTGCACAAAGGTGGATCTCTGCAGAAAATGCCATATGGCACGTTTGCAGCAAATCCAGGTCATCTGAAAATCATCAGGTCACCCGAGAACCACTGTACCGCACCTGTACTACCGGTCTGGCCGACCCAGAAGCTGCAGCGTCAGGCTCCCGACGTGTACCAAGTATCGCGTGAAACGCCACTCGTGGTTACGCACTGCTGGCCTAGCTAGAGACACAAGGGTTGGAGATGTTCCCCTAGGAGAAATTCAGTATTTCGGATTACCAAGCTTTACCCGTACCTCAAATTAATTTAAGATTTAATACTTTAAACTGAATATGGATAAGCAGGAAGCACCCGTTACAGGCAAACAGGATGAACTAGTTCTTCGTGACAGACATCCCAACGTACTTTCAGCTGCGGCGTTCACTCTGAGGGGGTGAGCTAGCGCTGCTTCGCAAAGCTGCTGGCGTAGATTAAAGCACAGTTGTGTTTGCTTTGGGAAACCGGCTTGGAGAAGGAATGACGAGGCTCTATCAGAGATCAGAAAAGCACCTCAATTGGACCCCACCCCAACCTGTCCCGGGACAAGACTCTTCCTTCAAAACAAACATTAAAAAAGGACAGTCACTGAAATTAAGGAAGCTTATTGCTGAACAGAAATCAAACATGAGGATGATGGAGGGCTCCCAGGGCTGGATCACTAGGAAAGAGGAGCAGAACAGAGGAATTGTACAATAAAGTAGCACTTTGGAAAACAAACTTGATCCCACCAATGCCAGAGTGGAGGCTTTGTTTCCCCTGGAGACCAAAGTCATTATTTTCATCAAGGTTGGATAATCCAGGGGCAACAACCCCACTCCTCACAAAAGGGTAACGGGATGAAGCGTCCAGCAAGAGCACAAACCCTGCCCAATTTACACTTGGAAAAAACAACGCACAGCATTGGGCGAGACTGAAAGGCAGCACAGCTCGGGGCTGAGGAGATACTACTATGGAGGACCACACGGAAAGGGGCTAAAAACCCTGAAAGAAAGAGGCAAAATCTGCATGACTTGACTGACTGCATCACAGGAAGGGGAATGATACAATTTTAGGTTGCAAACAGATTTTTTTTTCCCCTGGCTCACTCACCTAACAGTTACATGGTCAGTAGAGAGAGTAAGAGACATCAGTGTAAGCTAAACCCACCAGAAAGGGTTTCTAAACAGCCCTGATGAACGTGAGGTGGACCAGGAAGAAACAGGCTGTTGAAGAACACACTACAACGCTTTCCCGCATGATGCCAGAAGCCATTTAACCTCCCTTCTGACACAAAGTACTACGAGCTTCCAACCTGCAGAGTAGACGGGTCCAGATCGCGAGGGTGTTTTGTAGCAGCTCGGTGCAGATCTGTTCCAAGTTGTTTGGCTACCTGCTGTCACGGGACAGCATGGTTACAGAAAAGCTCATTACCAGCTAGGATAAAATGGGGCTGAAAGCCACCAAAAGGTAAAAGGTACACAATTTAGCATGTTGCAAAGGGTTGATACGAGCTGTGCTTGATCTTCAGTGCTTGCAGGGCAGGCAGTGCTCGGTGACACAAGTACATCATTGCTGTAAGGGCTGCTCAAGCCTCTTTGAGCACAAGCCCTCCCAAGCCTCGGTACAGCTTCCCCCTCCCCCAGACTGAAGTCTGAGTCGGCTCATGCGCCATGTGCCAACTTTCAGGTCTGACTTCAGAACCACACTGCTTGGTTTGACACTGACACCATCCTGCTCGGTGCGTCTCCGGTGGGACAAGCAACTCCCTCCTGCTCAGGCAGGTTAAGTACAGAGCTCCACCACGCACTTTCTGGCTAGTGAAATAATATGTTAACGGTTATAAGCTACTACGCCTCCACCCTTCCCCCCTTCCCCATCTGTACAGGGCCTCCCCAGGGAGAAGGATGGAAAGGTCACGCCTGACAGTCTGCAAACACTAAGCATCCGCTCTCTCGGCTGAAAGCCTCCTGCAAACAGGAATTCAGCTCAGCAATGAGCCAGTGAACCCAGCTTCGATAACCTCTTCATTACGGCCAACCCTACGAGCACATCTCTGCTGTTGGGACACTGAATCGCACAAAGGTTTTTCACTGTTGTTACCAGATACTAAAAATGCCTGTAGTAAATACGGCATCAAATGTGGCTTTTGAGGACTAACAAAGCGCTTGGCTTTGGAAGAGGAGTGGCAGAAGAATGAAGACACGACTGTAATTTGAAGTCAGCCGCATTAATATTTAAAGACTACTCGGAACACCAGGTCTATTTCCTGCCGTGATTCAAACTTTTTCATAACGATTTTCCTTCCTACCTTTCCACCCACTCAGCAAGATTGTTTAAATGCAAGTAACTTTCAAGAGCAAAGCTGCATGAAGATATTTCCCTAATGGTGACTCAGACCAATTCCAATATTCATTTCACTACAGTACAGTTGGAGACACGGGAACAGTTATTTAATGAAAGATACAGGCTTGAAAGGAAATTACTTAAAGCACA